CCCCAAAACCCCAAAACCCCAAAACCCCTGCATATAAAGATTCCATTGGAAAATCATAATTATCTAGGTTTTAATGAACTCTATTTTTGTAAAATCTTACTAAAGTTCATTTTCCCACAAAATTTGCAGAAATATTCTCAATCCATCAGCGGCGGTTTTGATCCAATGCCGGAATGGGAGAGGAAGACGAGGCTTCAATGAATACTGCTATCGATTATATGGATAAGCCTGCTTTTAATGATGATATCCCAATCATAAAATAACAGAAGCCCCACCCTGTAATTGATAATTTCAAAAGGATACATTCCTAAAAGATCTATTGTTTAGCGATTTGCTCTTTGAAGAGTCTATGAACCATCCAAGTATCGAAGAGGATCCTTCCTATTTCGGGAGCCACAAATTAAAATTTGGCAAAGTTTATTTCATCTATCAACCTCATTTAACCCATAAAAAAACAGAGATCTTTCCCAATATTTAGAGGAAACTGGATTTGGAAAGAAAGTTTTCTTTTTAAAAGCATCAAAAGAAGAAATCATACAGAATGCTCGAAAAAATGAAAATAGTTGCCAACTTTAAAGATTATTAAAAAGTACAGAATCAATGAAGAAGAGAAAGGCTCTTCTTAAATGAAACTTACTAAATCTACCAGCCCTCAAGAGGAGTTTACAATCACTATGGTTAGAAAAGAAGTGCCTGATATGAACAAGATAACGTGCCTGACATGACGAGGAAAGAAGCATCAGACATATTTGCCCCAAACATACCTGCACTAGTATAATAAGACATGGCAAGAGAGCAAATACTTGAGCTCCCCATAAGGCATGCATTAATGGCCAGAATGTATTCTCTAATCAGCCAGTGTGAAATATCTTAAAGAAGGCCAGGAAACTAATACCCAAGTGATGAAAAGACCCTTCTGATACTTTATAAAGAAGACATGGGGCAGATGATAGGTAAGCTGATTTATTATTGAAGCTTTCTAAATATTTCTTATAGAAGTCTTCAGAAGGAACATGCACGGAAGGTCAGGCTCATTATAATGATGGACTTTTTAGGTAAACTTCCGCAAAATCTACTAAGCTAAATCCCATCTTTTGTCAAATGATTGAAACCTTATTTAGAAAGACTAAGAAAGAGACAAGCTGTTTCTTAGAACGGAAGCACTTCACCAAGAAAAAGCATGTTCCTCTAAAAGTCCATCCTCAGTTGGGTCAAGAACTACATCAATAACTTGTTCGAGTTGCACCACATTGAGTCTCCACATGAGAGAGTATTTGTTCTTATACCACATCGTGCTCAGCTACCCTAAAGACAAAGTCTTGGCTGCACTAGAGTTCTTCTTTGTCAATCAGCCAGAGGAGCTAAACAAGTATCTAAATCACTTAGTAAACTTCATCGCTTCTAAACAGGATATTCGGCAATATTGCACTGAGAACCCATACTTCAAGAAGGTGTTGGACGATTTAGTCTATAACCTTGCTCAAAATGCTGAATAATTAATCTCTAATGAACGCATTAGGAAAGCAATGGGTGATACATATTCCGAGATCACAAATATACATTAGTAAAGCCCCCATCAATACCATACTTAATTCTATTATAAATTTTTCATCTCTAACCCACCTATCGGGGTTTTGGGGTTTTGGGGTTTTGGGGTTTTGGGG